CTTACTAGGATCATCACTGTACGACTTTTGCATTCAACTACTCCATTTTGTTGTGGAGTATAAGCTGTGGTCAGTTGTCTCTTCACTCCATGCTGCTGGCAAAAGTCAATAAATTCTGTCAAATTGAATTCTCCTCCTCTATCTGTTCTCAGGCATTTTATGGGCATTCCAACTTCTTTTTCCCCAAAATTTTGAAACATTTAAAATGGTAAAATATTTCTGATTTTTCTGGAAGAAAGTATATCAATGCCTTCTTAGAAAAATCATCTATAAAACACAACACATATCTTTTTCCGCTGCTCGAAGGCGAGTAATCAAACCACATAAATCAACATGAACAAGTCCTAATTTTTCAGTTGCTCTCCACTGACTGCATTTTAGAATCGAAGTCCAATGTTGTTTGCCCTTTATACATGCTTCGCAAGTGAGGCTTGGATCAACAATTTGCGGCAAACCTTCCACCATGTTTTTTTTATGTTTCAAATTACAAAGGCATTTGTAGTTGAGATGACCATAACGATAGTGCCAAAGTGTTGATTGATTTTTATTAGAGATTTGGAGGTAGCTCCCTTTAGTTGTTGTGATTTATGACTCCGCAAGCAAAATGAACATTCGATTTGCACTCATAATTAATTATGCTATTTTTCCCTTTTGTGGATGATAAATACTGCATACTCCATTTTTGAACCGTACATCCACTCCCTTTTTCTGAAGTTGTTCAACGCTTAAAAGATTGTTTTTGAGTTTAGATGCTCAATATACTTCTCCAATGGTATAACGATTTTCTTGCAAAAACAATTTTACAGTACCTTTTCCAAACACTCTCATTCTGGTATTATTTCCAAGCTTGACACGACGAGTAAAAGTTTTATCGAAGCTTGGAAACATGTTTTCATTACCACACATGTGATTTGAGCAACCCGAGTCTAAGAACCAGGCGTCACTTCTCTTTGATCGATGGAGTTTTACATAGGCCATCAGCAGCATCTCATCTTCTTCGTCAAGCTCAGCATAATTTGCTTCATTCTTCCACTTTGGACATTCATACTGAAAATGTCCTAAGTTGTGACACTTATAACATTCAATAGTTGCTTTGTTGAAATTCATTCTCCCTCTTCCACGCCTTCTTCCTCTGTACGTTCCTCTCCCTCTGTTGTTTGCACTTGATGGACCTACAACATTCAGCACCTGTTCTTCATCATTTTTGCTGGGGCATCGAAATTTCAGTTCATGCACCACTAACGAACTTTGTAACTCATCAATGGACATAGTATAAGTATCTTTTGATTCTTCAATGGATACTACAACGTATGTAAATTTGTCAGTTAGGGTGCGTAGGATTTTTTCTACAATTTTCTTTTCTGGCATTTCCTCTCCATGGCTTCTCATCTTATTAGCAACCTGCATCACTCTTGCAAAATACTTAGTGATGGTTTCATCCTTTCTCATCTTCAGAACCTCAAACTCTCTTCTTAATGCATTAAGAAGTGATTTCTTCACTCTTCGGTTTTCACCAAACTTTCTCTTCATTGAGTCCCAAACAATCTTGGATGTGCGACGGTCCAAGATTTGTTCAAAGATAGTTCGATCAATCGCCTGGTACAGTTGCTTTACCTGATGATCCTTGACTCTAACATTGTCAAGATGTTCTTGTTGTGCAGTAGTCAATTTTGTCCCTTGTACTGATTCCCGAAAAACCATTCTTCACCAAGCTCCATAAGCCTTTTGCTTTAAGCAAGTTCTCCATCAATTCACTCCAATGATCATAGTGACCATCGACGTTAGGAATTTTCGTTAATTTTTTGTCGTCACTCATTCTCTCAATGTTCGATCACTTGAAGATTGCAACTTCTTTCCAACTGGCTCTGATACCAATTGATAAGTTCAACATCAGATTGTTAGTTGGATCGGTGAGTTTTATTAATTCTAATTATGACATTATATAGTCTTTACAAAAAGATAGAAACCACAAATAACTGTAATTGAACATAAAAATATAAGTAGAAAAATCCTAAGAGTCCCCAAGAATAGGACACCCTAAAAGACTAGAACTATATTTGAAAAGTTAGATGAGCTACTCCTAGTATAAATGGTCAAGGTCGGGTATCCTTATTGGGTATTGTAATTTTAGGTGTAATCCTTATTAGGTATTGTAATTTTAGGTGTAAATTATCAAGGATCGGTATGCTAGTATTGGATAAAGTGGAGCTTCGAAATCTCAAGTATAAATTATCTTGGATCGAACATAAAGTTCTATAGGAAAGGGCATTGGCACTTTGAATATAAATGGTCGGGGTCGATCGGTCTCATTTCAGAAGAGTAAAGGTTTGATAAGCTTGGTTATACTTAATACCAAACGTTATGGGAGAGGGACCATAACTAGTAGCTGGTTCACTAGTGATTACCTGACGGGACCATGGCTAATGGGAATCGAAATTGTTGGCCCATTGGCATCAGGTGTGTTGATAACCGTTTGATGGTGTTACTGCCACGTGTACGTTCAATATAATATCTCAATGGCACAATTTTACACCGCATAGCATGTGATTGCTAATTCCACCGTCGTCTTCAACCTTCCCTCCCTTACCGATGTGGGCTTCTGTTGTGACCATCTGCGGCATCAAATTTATGCGCTGCCGTCCTCTTTTGCTTCCAAGAATCTCTCCTTCTCTATTTTCCATGGATAGGAGCAATACCTCCTCCTTTTCTTCTTTTGCTCATTCCACTAAAAGGTAATTATGCTCCTTCCTTCATCATCATCTTTGAAACTGGCGGAATATCGAAGGAAATCTTCATCGTTTTCTCTACGCCGTTTTTCATATTTTTAGAATCTTGAATTCGTATGGTTGTTTGTTGAAATCGTAGAGATGGTTATTGATTCTGTTCTTTGTTTTGATTTTTTCAATTAGCGGTGGAAGAGGAAGAGGTTTGGACATGAGGAGTGACAGAGAGAGCACGAGAGGGCGCGGTGGAGGAGGCGATGGCTCTGGTAAAGACAAAATTGATGCTCTTGGTAGACTCTTGTAAGCATATTTCGTCCATTGGTATCTTGTTTAGATGTTAATTGTCTCGGATTAGTTGTCAAACTCATTGTTTATTAGATTAAGCTTATGAAAGACTGTGTGCATGCTCTTTTATTTTGAGTTATGTTATTTATGGCGAAACATAGGTATATGTACATTTGGTGATTCATGAAGCTGAAGCTTAATTCCCTAGAATTTTGATATTTTTCGGTGAAACGTATGAAGATACACAGGATAGGAAGATCAAGCTTTAAATGGAAACCTTAAATCAAATGTTTTAATCAGTTATGCACGTTGAACTTGAGAAAATTCCAAGGGGAGTAGAATACAGTCTCATGGTCTTAATGTTATGTTCATTTATAGTAGTGCTGTTACTTGACACCATATCTTTATAAATTTGGCTGGTTCTTTTTAACAATTTTGAGCTAAGTTGTTGTGAGGGTTCCTATATCTTACTGTTTATGATTGGCTGGTGCAAAATGAATAAGCCCGAGTAAATGATTGAGAGGAATTCAAAAGTTATGCATAATGCATATAGATTTGTTCTTTATAGCAGTGTGATATGGTTTATATGTTTATCGATTGACATTTTCCCCTTTTATCTTCAGAACACGCATCTTGCGACATATGGCTTCTGAGTTAAACTTGAATATGAGGAGTGATGGATATGTCAAACTTCAGGATTTGCTAAAGTTGAATTTGAAAACATTTGCCAATATCCCATTGAGATCGCACACAGTTGATGACATAAGGGAGGTTGGTCGGAGAATTTTCTTCTTTAGTTGCTTTCGCATGACTTCAATATGTAGATTCAAACTGATATGTAACTTATGCTTTCCATTGCTCAACAATGCTGTTAAAGGTTGTTTGTTCTATTTATCTTGATCCGTTTATCCTTGCCTTTTCTCTCAACTAGTTCCACTATTGTATTTCCTCTTCCACGACTTGTAAATTTCAGTTCAGTTTTGTTTCTGTAAGCATCTAGTATTGGTGAGTAGTTTTTTTCCCCTTCAATGCCAGGCTGTTCGGAAGGATAATAAGCAGCGTTTTAGCCTCCTGGAAGAGAATGGAGAGCTCTTCATTCGAGCAAACCAAGGCCATACTGTCACGGTTATTTTCTTTCTTTATAAACCATCAAATCCATTACTGTTAGAAAGTCTTGGGGGATTGGCAGTCAAGATCATTCATTTCAAAATTGTTGATTGCTTCACATTAGGTCAAATGCATTTGATTCTTCTTTACATTGACTTATTAGTAATATATGAAATGAAAAATCCGTTTCAGCTGGTTACTGTTGTTACTCTATTTTGTGACAATCCATCAGCCTTGTCAGATGGGTGTAGTGTTGTATAAGACTTCCTCAACTCTTGTACGATTGTGATACTGGAATCAGATTGTCTATTTTGTGTACACCATCATAAATGGAAAAAACATCCTTTGCAGGTGGTTGAAACTGAAAGTTTATTAAAACCGATTCTTTCGGCTGAGGAGGTTCCAGGTACTGTGGTTTGATGCCTCAACTTTCCTACTTTTTTCACATATCATTCTTTTCTCCTTGATGTCCATGATGGGAGTATCCATGCATTTTAAACTTCCAATTTTGTTATTCAATTAATCACTTTTTTTCTCCCTCTTTATCACAGTTTGCGTACATGGTACTTATAAAACAAATTTGGAATCAATTCTGGCATCTGGTTTGAAACGCATGAAAAGATTGCATGTCCACTTCTCATGTGGTTTGCCAACAGATGGAGAGGTTATCAGTGGTAAGTTAAGAAAATCTAATTGTTACGCTTTCTTAAGAATGTTTCCGATAAAACCATGATATCACTTTGGTCAGCACTCGCTGCTTGAGTAAATGCACATTTATTTTTTGTAGGGAATAGAAACTGGTTTCTTTGATTGATGAAAATGGTTACAAAAATTCCTACCATACATAATACAAACACACTTCCAATGTGTCTCGAGGGACGATAGACTATAGTTACAAATGACAAGAGATCGTTTTCCATGTTTAAGCAAGAAAAGATTATATGCAAAGTTTAGGTGCTTTGTTGCTTATCTGTGAAGATCTGTGCATTTCTTTCCTGCCATAAGCTCCAATAGAAAGCCCAAATTAATCTCTTTCATAGGATCTTTGTCTCTTTCTTGAATGGATGGCTGATGAGGGACGCATTGAGGAGGGTGAAAGTATCTCCTGGTCTTGTAAAACTCCAACCAAAGGCATCTTGTAAGAAGTTCCAGAATGTTGTATTGTAGGTAGACTGGCTAGATAAATGAATTCGTCTCATGATTCTTCATACATAAGTGGCAGCAACTTGGAGAAATTGTAATCCATGGAGATTTTCAAAGTGTTAATGCAAGCATGACTTAGCTCTCAAATAAGGAACTTGACATCCTTGAGAGATTGCCCCCTCCGTAATAGTTTGTAGAATTTGAATTTTACCATATTGCCGGTAGATGCAAGCTGTTTGGTCAAATAACCTGTGGTTAAAGTCCCACTTTTCTGAAAAGTTCACACCCACCAGTTCCCTTTCTCCGACTGAGTAACTCTGCAAAAGGTGGGATAAAGATGCCCATTCATCCACTTCCATGCAGTATATATTTCACCTCAAGAGTAAATTCCATGATTCAGTATTCCAATTCGACAACTCTGTAATTGATAGGGAGAGATGGTAAAGAATAGGATATTCTTCGAATTACACATCTTCACCATCTTTCATTTTCATTCCATTTCTGGTTTATTTCGTCATTTTCATAAAAATTGAGCATACTGTTCATCATGCTTATTATCAATAAAATTAGCTCATTTCGGTTGGGAACTTTCGTATCATGCTTCCTATAACATGCTCCAATACGTACTATAAGCTCACCTTAATCCGAAGTTCCAAGGTGCTACTTATTTAGTTCGGTTGTTACTTTGATGGTCGGTTCGGGTCCTTAATGAGTTTCAAATTTCTTCAAACTTTTTAAATAGGTTCTAAATTAAGAGAAAATTTTAATACCATTAAAATTGGATCGGAAATTGGACAAAAACCGGCCAAATTGGGTGAAAATGTCAATGTTTTGTGCACAGTGCATGAACAGTATCATTCCTTACTCCTAACCTCCAGCCATGAACAATATTTTGTATTTTGAACCTCCCAGTTTCCTCAACTCTGATGAAGGCCTTACACACCTCAATCCTTCACACTTTCACCACGAACCTATTGGGACAAGAATCATGCAATTTCGTTAAGAATAGAAGAAATTATTGAGTGTCGAAGTCTCGAGAAAACTCAAGAATGAACCTTTAATCTCTCAACTTGATCTCTCCCTTCAAGTACGTTCAAGTCTCAGTTCCTTCACAAACTGTGTAAAGCTTCCTCACACAAAACTATAGCCCCTGAAATCATGGAAATCCATTAACATTTGAGGTAAAATCACTTGAAGAAGATTTGGTTCATAGCCACAAAAACTTACCTCAAATTCGAATTCAAATCCCTCCTTCTCGTGCCTCTTTGCTCCAGTTCTTTCCTCAATCCCTTACCGTAGGATCCTCCAAGTTTCAAGTCCAGAGCTGGCCCCAATCATCCCAAATCTCTCCTCAAATATCGTTGGCTGTTCTTCTGCCTTCTCTTTTATTTATTTATTTGTTATTTGTCATTTGTTTATTATTTATTTTAAGTTTCTTTTTTGAAAAAAAAAAACTTACATAGCCTTAGAGTGGACCAAAATTGGAGAGACAAAGTTAAACTTGTTTCCTCTTTCTGGAAATGGACAGGTATGAGACGCAACGTTAATGTTTTAATCTTTCTTGATGTCAATAAAGCTCTGAATGGTACTGCTGAACCCTCTTTTATTTTCATTTGTATAATACCGACGATCTCTAGTGCCTGTTTCTTGCTAAAACATTGTATTTCAGATGGAATGAAGCTTTATATGTCGGACAACAAGGTCATTCTGACCGAAGGTTTCGACGGAGTGGTGGCAGTCAAATACTTTCAAAAAATCGAGTCATGGCCAAATCGACAACCAATTCCTTTTTGAGCCTGGATGAGATGGTGTACATGATCAATCATTGCATGAAAATATTGCATTGTGTTTAGATCTAGAGACAAGATATTAACACGTTCATTATTTTAGTCTGGAATTTCTTATTAGATTTGCACCAGATTCTCGTATGCTAACTTTTATAGCTTGGGTTAGCTCGGGTTTCATATGAATTTCGAACTTGGGGAGTCTTTGCATTTAAGTTGGCAGCAAACAGTTCTGTCCTTATGAACATGATGGTGGATCTTTCATGAAGATTTGGCAACAAGTTTAGATTTGTTCATGAAGCGATGAAAGTTATGTTTTATGTCACAAGTATCTAAATCCAAGTCTGTGGAGACTGATATGAGAAAGCACCCTCTAAAGAAGTGTATGATGATATTTCTTCATTTTTGATTCAGTTTGTGTTGGTGAGTGAAGAGTCTGGTTAACAATTCTGATGTATGCAACCTGTACCACAGGACTTGCTTTATGAAACTTCTGATATTAATCATAATAATAATAATAATAATTATTATTATTATAAAAGAAGATAATAAAAATTAAGTTTTGATTTTATGTTGAAGTATTACAACGTAAAAGTTGTATCTATTATATTGTAAATAAAATAATAAAAATTATTATTAAAAATTAAATAGTCTATTACGAGACTTTTGGACATAAATCAACAATTTCTCACTTGTTAATATCAAAAGTTATCTTGGTCATTATGACGGACAAACTAAATCATATTTGAAACATTTTTCAAATATCATTTGTTGCTCTAAAAGCTACACATACTCACCATCTAAGGTAAAAACATAAATTTCAAGAAATAGTGTATCAAATTTTCAACTCCAAACACAAAATAAAAATTTATCATTATCCATTAATACTTTGAGAAAACTTTTAATTTTACACTTATGGGTCATACCATTAGTTTAACTGATATAATCTAACCAACTGCCTATTAAAAGTTAATTCTCATTTATGTATTAATTGTCTCCCACTTAGGAAGGATAATTAATTATTTACTCTCAACTTTTGAGGTTACTTAGGATACTATTCTTCTAATTTCATATTTGAACGATACATTATCATTCTTTGAAGTTTTGTATCAAATATTTGACAATAATTTGTCAATACGAGATGTATGAGACAAATATTCATGAATCTCGTTCTTAGAATTATCCCAAATTATTCCTTTAAAACTAGTGAGATATTTATTTATGTCAGATGGAAAGCCTACTTCATTCCTAAGCCATTAATAATTTTCTTGTTTTCAGATGATTACAATCTATTTAAAGTCATATGTTATCAAATTTTCTTGTTAAATTTATTTGAATAATGAACTTTTACTTTTTTTTTTTTTTTTGTTTTTAATTTTTAACAATAATTTGTGTAGATGCATTCTCTTAGATAGAAATTCTAAGTATTCTAAGGTATCCAATATATACAAAAATGAATTAAAAAGTACTAATAGACTCCCAACATGAGAAAGTTGCTTTAGATACCTTCTCTTCCACTAATAGAACATCTATATCTTCTAATTTTCGTTCCGTAGATACATTTATATCCTATGAGTTTAACCTCATCAAGAACATCTACAAATCCTTGGATTTTATGACTTTAACGTATTTATCATTTGTCATCATCCCTCGTAACTATTCTAAGGGTAATAAGCCTTCAACTTTGTTATCTAACATGACAATTCGTATTTCAATAGGATTGAGTCGATCTCATTACTCTTCCACTCAGATGAGGCTTATCCAATGACTAGGATCTATGTAGTTAAATTATTAACAACATTTGTTAACTATTAGTGGTTTCACTTGAAAAAATATTTTGTTATAATTATTAACAAAATTATATTCATACTTAGAGTTGAAATATAATTCTACTTTCTATTAAATAGTTTGATTATCTTTTAACGAACAAAAGATCCTATAAAAAAAATTATGAATTATTGGTGAATAAAACTTAAGAATGACTGAAAACATGATTAATAAAACTTGTAAAAGACAAGTTAGCTACTTATTGACTAAATTAATTACTCATCGAAATTATTTTAATTTTTCTTTCAAGATAAATGTGATGTTTAGTAACCGAGGTAGTAAAGCAACCGAGCTGGAGATTTACTTAATTTAAAGAAAATATTTTTATTTTATGGTTTTATTTTGTGAATAAATTATTTGCGTCAGTAGTAACTTTCGTGATTCGGTCTTTCGATGAGTGGGAGTTACAAGTTGGAATCAGAGCTTAGGTTTTAGGTTTTGTAGACAGTCTAGGATAGACCGTATGGATCCCTTTAGTTCTAGTTTGACTCAATTGTATCTCGCTTCGGTTAGGTAAGTGGTATATAAGTAAGTTGTGTGAAGTGTTACATAAAGTTTAAAAGAATTGGTTGTGACCAATAATTTATTTGTGTGACAAATTATGGTATTATCGAGGAATATGGAACTCAGTACGTTCGAAGTGGACTGGGAGAGTGAAGAGCATCCTCTGGAGGGGATTGTTCCCGCAGAGGTGAATCTAAAGTCTATTGTACCAGCTGCATCCAAGGATCAACTGGCCACTATTATTACTCTCGAGGCATTACAGTGATTGATCTAGAGTCAAGTTAATCACGCATTGCAGACGGCCCCTTGCTGGATTTTGGAGTCAGACAACTCCAACTGCACCCATACCCCTAGTGGTTAATCAAGCAAGTCCATTTGTTGAAGTACCTGGAATAGATGTTCAGACATCAATACCTCCACCAAATCCGATAGTGCCACCAAGTACAGTAGTCTTGATAGAGACACCACCTAAGGAAAAACAAGTATCAAAAGATAAAAAAACGAGTTTATGAAACTTCTTACCCTCCGAATGGAAATAAAGAAAATTGCAAAATGCGGTTAGTAAAATAATACCATATGATAAACGTTTTATGATGGAGGAGAGTGGGTACTTACATGATTTTATGCGATATGAACCACATACTTTTGAAGGTAGAGTGGTAGATCTTGAGGCAGCTGAATGGTGGTTGGAGTCTATTGAAACGAAGTTTAGATACGCGAACAACCTGAAAAGCTACAAGGTTCAATGTGCCACGTACATGCTAGCAGGACCAATTTATTTTTTTGTGAAAATCAAAAGAGTCTAATATGGATACTAGTGGAGGTCCGATTTCTTGGTTGGCATTTAAACAAGAGCTTTGTGAAAAATATTACCCTACTTTGGTGCGATTTTGTAATCAGATAATATTTTTGGAGCTGAAGCAAGGTAATCGATCCATGGACGAGTACGATTTATAGTTTACACAATTATCTAGATTTTCTCCTTATTTGGTTGGTACTGAAGAAGAGAACACAAAGCTCTTTATCAAAGGTTTGAAGTGGGAGATACAGGTTTTGTGTTGCTATTAAATTGGATATAAATACTCCAAGAAGTAACTATAGTTCTAGCAGTCAGATGCGAATGGGGAGTAAGCGGAGTATACTTAGATGTCTTATGGATCCCAACAATAGGTAGTATAATGATATATTGATCATCGATCTCCAAGAATGTGTCGAAATGCGATATATCCTAATGAAGTAAAAATTGAGAGAATTTTCTCATGAGATGGAGGTAGTCAAACAAGTGCTGGTTGTCAGAATCAGGCTTGATCAGGCTTGAGGTAAAGCCTATGCCTTGACTAGCAAAGTAGTGGAGGATGTGAGTATCGTGGTAACAAGTACTTTACCTTTGTGCGACTATTATGCTTACACTATATTTGATTCAGGCTCTACACATTCTTTTATTTTGTTTAAATTTGTTCATCAAGCTCAACTTAAAATAGAGTAGTTAGGCTATGAGCTATCGGTATCTATATCTTCTGGAGTAATATTGATGACTTGTGAAAGAGTGAAAGTTAATAGACAATAGTGTCTAGGCAACCTTATATGTGGTTATTGATGATATTAGTTATGTATGATTATGAATATGAATTGACTATTTGCACTGTCATGCCCATATTGATTCTTACCACAAACCAAACAAAACAAAGAAAAAAAAAAAAAAAAAACACAGTTAAACTCCACGGTTAAATGCACGTAACTTATAGCAATGCTATATTAGGTGACCTCTTNACACCAAAAAAAAAAAAAAAAAAAAAAAAAAAAAGCACAGTTAAACTCCACGGTTAAATGCACGTAACTTATAGCAATGCTATATTAGGTGACCTCTTGAGAATGTTCTCATGAAACATGTAAGTGAAGACAAGACATGTGTAAAGCACTCGTGTTAGTTTGTGGGGATAGTCTTCATTCTTAAAAGCGAGAAGTAAACAACGCACCATGTCGTAGAAAAATGTCGGAGCACGTGCTGAATCTATATTCAAACTTTGGGCATGAGACAATACAAAGCAAGTAATAAATTGTAGAGATATTCCCTAATTTAGATTGAAATTTTGGGTGCGTTACACGGATACTCAAAATAATCTCTCACCATTACTATAACGACCATAAATTTTTACTTAACTTAAGAGTCGTTACCATATACATA